CCTGGAACCCATTTTGTGTGGGATCACAGAGCATCAGTTTTTATAAAAGACAATTTGCAGCACCACACAGTGGAATAACCGGGTACGATGCCAACGGAGGGAAGCTGCCAAGGGGCACATTCATTCGACACAGCTTATTCAGTGATCTTAGGAGCCAGAGTCAGGAACAAAATCCTTTTTATTTACATGTAATTAAATGGTCACAGTGATTTCTTCCTTGTTTAGTTAAATTGCACTTTCTTCTATTAACTGCATTTTTAATGCCAGCTTTTATCTTGGTATTTTTATAAGCCACATTGTATTGCTTTGCAAAACAAGCTGATTGAAAATCAGGTCATGTTACAACAAAAGAAAAAATATGCATATGTGGAAAATGAAAAATTGAAAAAAGATATCTAGAACTAAGTTGCTGTTTGTGCACAATTCTTTCAAGACTCCTAGTGAGGTCGAATTTAGAGTATGGGCCACAGTTAAAGAAGGGTCCTGCCTGGCAAGCATTTATGATAACAAAGTTTCAGATTAAAGAACAGACTCACCAGGTGGAGACAACCAGAAAGGTTTAATTGGGATCTGGCCAGAAAAGATGCAAGTGTGGCTAGTGTCAAAAATACAAGCATAAAATGAAATTCAGAGACATGGGTTTTTATACAGTGGACAGCTACTCAAGTCTTCTCCCTCTGTCCCCTCTTTTTCCTGATTGGCTAGCAGAGGGGCTGTCGTGAAGCAGCGCCTTGATTCGCTGGTACTGTGATGACGTTGACACCTCCAAGCGGGGTTTCAATGACTGAGGGGAGGGGATGGAGGAGGACTGGCCCCAAGGAGGGCCAATCAGCTGTTGAGAGGGGGTGGCTCTTATGGCAGGAGGCAGGCCCAGGAAGTTTATGTCCATATTTGGAGAGCTTAGGGGGTTTTCTGGCTAGCATAATAGTCCAGCTTTGGGTAATCTAGTGTCTGGGTCCCTGAAACAAAGTGTCTAGAATTGGGTGTATATTGTGAGTCTCTGGTGATGAGCGAACCTCATGGGAAAAGCAAGGGTGCAGGCTTTCAGAACAAAAAGGGTGATCTTCTGTAATTAATCAAGCTTTGGGTGTCAAATAAATGTCAGCCAACTCTAAGCTCAATTGAGACCATCAGTGGATAAGTACTGGCCCAGCGATACCAGATTGAGAAGGGAAACGTCCTGCTGAGCTGTGCATACCCAGACAAGATGAGTCTTTGATTTTCAACTTTTTCCAAGAGATTAACCCAACCCAAGTATCCAGGAATGCAATGACTCTGTGGCAGTCTCTGGCAGAAATCATATTTTTAGTACATTTTGTCATATGCAGTAGAGTCTCGCTTATCCAACATAAATGGGCTGGCAGAATGTTGGATAAGCGAAAATTTTGGATAATAAGGAGGGATTAAGGAAAAGCCTATTAAACATCAAATTACATTATGATTTTACAAATTAAGCACCAAAACATCAGGTTTTACAACAAATCAACAGAAAAAGCAGTTCAATACACGGTACCGTTATGTAGTAATTACTGTACTTACGAATTAGCACGAAAACATCACAATGTATTGAAACAGCTGTGGATTCAGGCAGGAGGCAGACTGCGTTGGATAATACAGAACGTTGGATGAGCAAAGGTTGGATAAATGAGCCTTTACTCTAGATAAATAGGATAGAGAATAAAAGATAAGGATATGAGCAGAGGCTTTATGGAAGGATACAATGGATGTAGAAGCTGTAAAGAAGGATACAGTCTATTAGAAGGTTGAGAAGCTGTTGCCTTTGCAAAATTTGCTACTGTAGATTTGGTCAGTACATGTTCTGAAACGAACCAGTGCATATCTATAAATTCTTATACAGATAAACAAGCTTTTGAGGGAGGTTTGCTGCTGGTTTATTACAGAGGTCACAAAGACAATGTAGAAAAGGGAAATTTTACTTTATCTTGTATTTTGTTTAGGAGTCCTTGGCAAGCTATACATCTCTAGGGTGGGGTGCATTGTTCAACAACACTAGTAGGCACTAAAGTTTACCACTGATGCAACATTATACAAAACACAGGAAACTGTTATTGAGCAAGATGTGTTGAAGTCGGTGTTTTCAACAGATCCCAAAAAGTTTAAACACTAGTCATATGGATGCCGGAGTTAAGAATTACCTTTCAGAAAATTGATTTGATTGGGGGAGTTGTGGGGTGGGCTGGTTCCTACTGTTTGGGTTTCCATGTAAATAATATTTCTTTGCATAAGTGTACCATAAGCTGAATGCTACACTCCCCCTTTTTGTGCTCAAAATCGTTCCCTTTTTTGTTCATGGAACATTTGGAGAGGAATAATAGTGAGGAAGAACGGGACAAATTCTCCCTTGTGCTTTCTCTTGGATAGCATAACCCTATCCAACTTTTCTCCAAGGTATAATGGAGTTTGGTTCCAGGAAGGATCTTGGATATGGCTGTTCAAATATCATTATTTACAGTGGGGTAGTATAATGGTATCCCTTACATAAAATTACAAAACAAATGTTTGCTTTTTTGATTAAAAAATATTTTCAAGCTGAGGATGGAAGAATCCATGGATAAGAAATCTGAGGATACAGAAGGCCAACTGTAAAGTGCATCAAATTCAGTGAGCTATATTCCCTGGCAGATAGGTACAGGGTTGCAATTTCCCAAGTGTCTTTCTGGTGGTTTTCTTTAAAAACCAAACAAACATAGAAATGTACTTTCAAATTCGTTGTCGAAGGCTTTCATGACCAGAATCACTGAGTTGCTGTGTGTTTTCCGGGTTGTATGGCAGCGTTCCAGAAGCATTCTCTCCTGCCATTTGGCCCAGATCTATGGCAGGCATCCTCAAAGGATGTAAGGTCTGTTGGAAACTAGGCAAGTGGGGTTTATATATCTGTGGAATGTACATGGTGGAAGAAAGAACTCTTGTCAGCTTGAGGCAAGTATGAATGTTGCATTTGCCCACCATGATTAACATTGAATGACCTTTCAGTTTCAAAGCCTGGCTGCTTCCTGCCTGGGGTATCCTTTTAAAGAGGTGTTAGCTGGCCCTGATTGTTTTCTGTCTGGAATCCCCCTGTTTTTTGAATGTTGCTCTTTATTTACTGTTCTGATTTTGGAGTTTTTTTAATACTGGTAGCCAGATTTAGTTCATTTTCATGATTTCCTCTTTTCTCTTGAAATTGTCCTCATGCTTCATGTGGATTTCAATGGCTTCTCTGTGTAGTCTGACATGGTGGTTGGTAGAGCGGTCCAGAATTTCTGTGTACTCAAATAATATGCTGTGTTTGTAATTACACTGAATTGCAATTACATATATTTGTGTAGAAAAAATTGTGGAGAGAAATTGCCTTACAATGTATTTGTATAGAGCAGAACTTTCCAAACTGTGTGTCATGTAGCACATTACGTGTCCTATGCTGTGTGTAGGGGTGTCACACAAACCTAACAAGAAACCTGAGTCTGTATGAAATAAGCAATGAATCATATATTCTTAAATATATAAATGGAAGATTTTCATGAGATGTGTGCCTCACACATTTCGTTATTGCAAGTCATCTATTTGTCAGTGTCCCTTATAAGGGGGTAGATTTAACTTCCAGTTTGCTAGTAAATCTGAAAAACATGAAATGATTGGAAAGCTGTAGATTAGAGTAAATTGGAGAGGGGGGCAACAAAGCACACAAAATATATTAATTTTTAAAGCATACACATCTCTTTGCATCTACTTTGGGGGCAGTGGTGATACTGGAATAGGAAAACTTAACTACTTTTTATTTTACTTACTTACTTAGACAATCCCTCAATGTCTGAGTAAGATTGTCCTCCAAGTTTGGTGTCCTGCCGGTGGGTCCGTAGGTGACTGTGGAGTCCTATTCTTGACCTGCATGTTCTCCCACAGTGAGGGTATCGGTTTCCAGGTGGAAGGCGGTCCCGGTCGGGGTTGGCTTGACGCGCCTTCCTCTTGGCACGTTTCTCTCTCTCACGCTCCATTCCTGCCTCTTCAAATTCTACAGCACTGCTGGTCACAGCTGACCTCCAGAGCGCTCAAGGGCCAGGGCTTCCCAGTTCTCAGTATCTATGCCACAGTTTTTAAGGTTGGCTTTGAGCCCATCTTTAAATCTCTTTTCCTGTCCTCCAACACAACTTAACTACAAATCCTAGGGCTCCATATGGCAAAGCCATGGGAGTTGAAAGTTTCTGACCTTCTCTGCCAAAGACTGCTGATGCTTCACTAAACTTCAAATCCCAGGATCTCATAGGATTGAGCCATTTTAATTTAAAAGCGGTGCCAAACTGCATTAATTCTACAGTGTGACTACTATTGCCTTGGGAATCCTTGCTGCAGTTGATTAAGCCGCTCCCTATGAGGAGCAGCTTAAAGAGCTGGGCATGTTTAGCCTGAAGAAGAGAAGGCAGAGAGAAGACATGATAGCCATGTATAAATATGTGAGAGGAGGTCACAGGGAGGAGGGAAGCAAGCTTGTTTTCTGCTGCCCTGGAGACTAGGATGCATTGGAACAATTGCTTCAAACGACAAGAAAGGAGATTCCATCTGAACATTAGGAAGAACTTCCTGACTGTGAGAGCTGTTCAGCAGTGGAAGTCTCTGACCCGGTGGGTGTTGGAGTCTCCTTCTTTGGAGGCTTTTAAGAAGACTGGATGACCATCTGTCGGGGGTGCTCTAAATGCGATTTTCCTGCTTCTTGGCAGAAGGTTGGATTGGACAGCCCACCAGGTCTCTTCCAACTCATGTGATCCCACTTGTATGGCTCCCCCAAGCCCTTGGAGCTCTAGGTCTTTTGTACTTCAATTCTCAGAAGCCCCTGCCAGTTCGATCCTGGGGGCTGAAGTCCAAAATTCCTGGAAGACTAAAAGGTTAGGGTTTTGTAAACTAAACCCGGAAACTGCACACGCACGTGCAAGGACGGTCTAAACTTTTGTACGTCTATGGATTTTGAGGCTATGCTAGGAGAGCTTCCGCATGCGGCGCGCGAGGATGACGCAACAGCGGGGCGAGCGGCGCGATCTCATTGGGAAATCAGCTCGGGGAGGGAAGATTCCAAACAAACGCAGAGCCTGTGGGAGAGTCCATTTGGGCAGAGGCGCGGGGGGAGCAACAAGGGACGGGGATGAGCAGGGATGCACCACTCTCAGGTATGCATAGGGGGGGATCAATACCTTATTCATGCCAATAGCGAGAGAAGTTGCAGCTGATTGAAAACAACTTCTGAGAATTTGTGAATTATCATTAAAAATTATGCAGTAAATCAACTGTTTAGGTATCAATCTCAAATTGATGGCAGACAAAGGTTTTGTGTGTGTGAAAGGGGGCTTTTTATGCCTAAGGAGAGAAGCTTTGAGTGGGATGCTTTGTTTACCTTTTTGAACTGTGTATGTCTTTGAACTGATTGTGTTGCTTCCTCTAAGTATTGGTTTTAATGGATTTACTATTGTATTATTCAGGTGTTTTGATTATTTCTAGATCCCACTCTGGGAGAGAGGAAGGTGGCCTCCAAATGAAAGTTTAAACAATGAGACTTGTCTACTTGGAAGCATACACTTCTTTTAAGCATTTAACGTTACATATTTGTTTTGTTTTTAATTTAAAGTACCATAGCACCATATATAACTATATAGGTAAAGGTAAATTGTGTCTCTTGACATTGAGTCGTGTCCGACTCTGGAGGATGGTGCTCATCTCCATTTCTAAGTCGAAGAGCCGGCATTGTCCTCAGACACCTCCAAGGTCATGTGGCTAACATACATACAGTTAAAAGATGTATGTTGGTTGGTTGATTAGTACTACAAAGACAGCTACGTTATTTATTTATTTATTTATAGTATTTATATTCCGCCCTTCTCATCCCGCAGGGAACTCAGGGCGGATTACAATGCACATATTCATGGCAAACATTCAATGCCATTTAGACATACAACATATATAGACAGACACAGAGGCCATTTAACATTCCAGCTTTCCCGCTTCATGAGGATATGCTCGATTCTGACCACAGGGGGAGCTGCCGCTTCACCGTCCACTTGTGACACCAAGTCCTTGATGGAGTACTTCCTCATTTTTACACACACTGCTGGAAGGTTTTATGGTGCCGTAAATTATTTAAATTAGCCTCCCCGCATAAAGAGATACCTAAATTACCTACTTGACAGATGCAACTGTCTTTCGGACTGCATAGGTCAACAGCAAGCTAGACTATTAATAGTCAGGAGCTCACCCCAACTCGGGCTGGCTTCAAACTCATGACCTCTCGGTCAGTAGTGATTTAATGCAGCTGGCTACTAACTAGCTGCACCACAGACTGGTCTTGTTATTGTTGTTATTATTAATACATGGCTTGATGGATCTGGACCAAATGTAGCACACATACCCTTCATTGTGTTGTTGAAGGCTTTCATGACTGGAATCACTGGGTTGCTGTGATTTTTCCGGACTGTATGGCCATGTTCCAAAAGCATTCTCTCCTGACGTTTTGCCCACATCTATGGCAGGCGTCCTCAAAGGTTGTGAGGTCTGTTGGAAACTAGGCAAGTGGGGTTTATATATATGTAGAATGCCCAGGGTTTTGTCTTCCTCAATGTTGCAGTTGGCCAGCTTGATTAGCATTTAATTAGCATTTAACACAACCTACAGTCTATCTACAGACCCACTAAGAAAATCCAACAAACGCTACGTTCAGCAAAAGAGAAGAGGGATCCTCTCGCCTCTGCAGGAGTCTATCGTATACCATGCAGCTGTGGAAAGTCTACACAGGGACCACCAAATGCAGCATTGCCCAAACACGAATCAAGGAACGTGAAAGGCACTGCAGATTACTTCAATCAGAGAAGTCAGCCATAGCAGAGCACCTGATGAACCAATCTGGACACAGCATATTATTGGATAACACAGAAGTGCTGGACCACTCTAGCAACCACCATGTCAGGCTGCACAGAGAAGCCATTGAAATCCACAAGCACATGGACCATTTCAACAGAAAGGAGGAAACCATGATAATGAATAAAATCTGGCTACCAAAATTAAGAAAACTCTAAAATTAGGACATTAAATAAAGAACAACACTAAAAAAACAGATAGGAATTCCAGATAGGAAACAATCAAGGGCAGCTAACACCTCCCAACAAAGGATTCCCCCAGGCAGGAAGCAACCAGGCTTTGAAGCTGCAAGGCTATTCAATGCTAATCAAGCTGGCCAGTTGCAATATTCACACTTGCCTCAAGCAGAAAAGTGTTCTTTCTCCCACCCTGAATGTTCTACAGATATATAAACCTCACTTGCCTAGTTTCCAACAAACCTCACAACCTCTGACTATGCCTGCTATAGATGTGGGTGAAACTTCAGGAGAGAATGCTTCTGGAACATGGCCATGCAGCCCAGAAAATTCACAGCAACCCAAACCTTTCATTATTCAACTTAAAATGATTGAGGGGTTTTAACTATTTAAAAAGGAAGGGGGAGAAGGAAAAAGAAGGGAAGGAAGGAAGAGAAAAAAAGGAAAGGTATGAGGGGAGGGGGAAAAGAAAGGAAGAGGAGAAAGAAGAGACAAAAAAGGGAAGAGAAAGAAAAAAGGTGGAAGGTGTATGAGGGAAAACAGAGAGAGAGAGAGAGAGAGGTGTATAAAGGAAGCAAAGAAAGAGCCACAAAGAGAGCCTGTCCATCATTGCCAGAGTGTTGCCATTGAGACATTGTGGGACAGGCCTCTTCTCAAAGCTGGAGAAGGAAGAAAGTCCATGGCAGATGTCCCAACAACACCCAGACAACTGTGGCTATAATATACACTAGTATAATATATATAGGAAATACATGTAAGCCATGTGTGAAAAAAATCAAATCTTGTAAATAAAGATACATTTTTTTCTTTATTGACAGGTCTTCATATGACAGCAAGTAATAGCTCTTTTTCACAATATTAAAGTGGAAACTGGGAACATGGCTTCAAACCCTCCTGGACAAGGTAACTATTACCATTTGGCAACTGTACTGTAATTGACCACACAATAGTTGCTGCTACATAACCATCACACCCCCTTTTTTGGTGTCAAAAATGGACTTCCACCCTTTCCTTGCTTAATCATCGCACAGCCATTCTCTCACCTTCCTTTCCTTCTTTCTCATGAAATTGAGCTCTTTGGAGCTTGGATCTTCCATTCTCGTTTCTCTATGAGCCCTTCCACACAGACCCATATCCCGGAATATCAAGACAGAAAATCCCACACTATCTGCTTTGAACTGGGTTGTCTGAGTCCCCAGTGCCATATATTCCAATTCAAAGCAGATAATTTGGGATTTTCTGCCTTGATATTCTGGGATATGGGTCCAAGGCCCCTTTAACATAGCTGAATAAAATCCCGTATTTTCTGCTTTGAACTGGAATATATGGCAGTGTGGACTCAAATAACCCAGTTCAAAGCAGATATTGTGGGATTTTCTGCCTTGATATTCTAGGTTATATGGCTGTGTGGAAGGGCTCTAAGATAGAACAGTTCAAAACAAAAGCAGAAATGAGCTGTTTATTTGGGGCTGGATCATCTCTCCTCCTGTTTTGGAGGTAAAGCAGTTTTAAAATAGAAATCAAATAATCAAAGGCAGATTTTTTTCATTACATAATAGTCGCAACCCCTTTTTTGGATCAAAAGGAGGAGGGGTGCGACTATTATACAATGAAAAAACATGCCTTTGATTCTCTGGCTTCTGTTGTATCATATTTCATCACACATCATACTTTTTTGTCCCCTTTTTGGGATCAAAGAAAGGATTCAAAGTGTGACACATGTGATGACATACGATATCTCATATTTTCTTGGATTCCATCTTAGACCAGTAGAAAAACTACTTTGCTTTCTGCAAATAATTTCTCTACTTTATATTCAGCATTATATATGAAATATATCCTAACATGGGAACTTTTGTATTGGAAAAGGCCACACTTCCCTTCTGAGCCCATTGGAGTCTCCAAAGATTGCCTTGGAGGCAACATGGCACTTGGCCAAGTACTGCTCCTCAAACAATTGTAGGAACCCTTGGGGCTGAGAATTGCGGTATATAAGCGCAATAAATAAATAAATAAATAAATAAATAAGTAAGTAAGTAAGTAAGTAAACTTCACCTGGAAGTGTCCACGTACCTCCCAGGAGCCACAAGAGATTTCAGGAGGGCTCTCCTTCCCTGAATAATTTCCTGATCTGTAGGTTCTCAACTGTTGGTAGGTATCTGCCCTATCCAGCTGGAGTACACCGTTATGGATCACATTTATCCATGCAGAGATTGACCCGCTTTGAGAAATAGAACAGAGAATTTCTAGGCAGTGTGACCACAAACAATTACCACCCTATTATGCATGGTACCAAGACAGCCTTGGCTGCCTTAGTGGATGATCTTCGCTGGGAACTGGACAGGGGGGGTGTGTCCCTGTTAGTTCTGCTGGACCTCTCATCGGCCTTCGATACCGTCGACCACGGTATCCTTCTGGGACGCCTCGCGGGAATGGGCCTTGGGGGTACTGCTTTGCAGTGGCTCCAGTCCTTCCTCGAGGGTTGATCCCAGAAGGTGTTGCTAGGGGACTCCTGCTTGACCCCACAGCCATTGTACTGTGGAGTCCCGCAGGGTTCAGTACTGTCCCCTATGTTATTTAACATTTACATGAAACCGTTGGGATAGATCATCCGGAGTTTCGGGGTGCGGTGTCATCTGTACGCAGATGATGTCCAACTCTGTTACTCCTTCCCACCTGCTACTAAGGAGGCTGTTCAAGTCCTGAACTGGTGCTTGGCCGCTGTAACGAACTGGATGAGGGACAACAGATTGAAACTAAATCCAGACAAGACAGAGGTACTCCTGGTCAGTCGAAAGGCCGAACAGGGCATAGGGTTACAGCCTGTGCTTGACGGGGTTACACTCCCCCTGAAGGCGCAGGTTCGCAGCTTGGGAGTGATCCTGGACTCATCGCTGAGCCTGGAACCCCAGGTTTCAGCGGTGGTCAGGGGAGCTTTTGCACAATTAAAACTTGTGCGCCAGCTGCGCCCGTACCTTGGGAAGTCTGACTTGGCCACGGTGGTCCACGCTTTGGTTACATCCCATTTAGATTACTGCAACGCTCTCTACGTGGGGTTGCCTCTGAAGACTGCCCGGAAGCTTCAATTAGTCCAACGTGCGGCAGCCATACTACTAAGGGGAGCGGGGTACAGGGAGCATACTACTCCTCTGTTGCGCCAGCTCCACTGGCTGCCAGTTAGCTTCCGAGCACAATTCAAAGTGCTGGTGTTAACCTATAAAGCCCTAAACGACTCCGGCCCAGTTTACCTGTCCGAACGTATTCTCCCCTATGAGCCATCAAGATTGCTAAGATCGTCTGGAGGGGCCCTGCTCTCGGTCCCACCGGCCTCACAAGTGCGTCTGGTGGGGACGAGGGACAGGGCCTTTTCGGTGGTGGCCCCTCGACTCTGGAACTCCCTTCCACTGGAGACTAGAACAGCCCCTTCTATCTTGACGTTCAGAAAACAGGTGAAAACTTGGCTATGGAAACGGGCATTCAACGAATGAGTCAAGATTCTGTGATATGGATGGATGATGACAAACAATGATTTTAGGATGACGACTGACCACTGTACTTAGCTATTTTAATGTTTTAGTGTAATTTGGATTATGATGTTTTAATGATTGTTTGTAATATTGTTTGTTGGAAACTGGCCTGAGTCCCTCGATGGAGGTGAGAAGACCGGTATACAAAACTGCTAAATAAATAAATAAATAAATTCCAACTGCAATCGCAGTCAACAAACGAATGAATTTTCAGTCACTTTTAGTGACAATTTACATTCTGATGCGATCTCCAAAATGTTCAGTAACAATTAAGGGAAATTCATGCTGCTTATTAAATATCTCTTGAATTATTCAAGAATGAATATTTTACTTGCCTCTAATAACTATGATTACATATTTGGAGGAGCCCAATATACTTGATATTAAGTCCAATATAAATGTGCATATATAAATGAAGGGAGTTGTGAATTTTTCAGCCTTGTATTAGGATCAGAGATTTCAGTGCTCAATTAAATTGTGTCTGAAGGCCTTTCCAGACAGACCTACTCTCCATGAAGAGCAACAACATTCTACAAAGCCTCTTTTATTTTAAATTAGCATAACATAAATGAAGGAGACAGCATGCCAGAAGAAACAAATGGATGTACTACAAATGTTTTGTCTTCTGAATATTTTCATGTGGCACAATTCACGACGTATGTTCGATTAGCTAAAATAGAATAGTTAAACCACACATTTAAACATCTCATACCCTTCTAGAATTATAAGGTTATCTTATCCAGACTATGAAACATAATTTGAAAAAAAAATCTGTTCCTGGCTTGAAAGTATTATTTCCTGTTTAATTTTGTGGTCTTTACTTTGAAAGTAGTTGATATGCTCCAGAAACTTCATTTTTGTGGCTGCCACAAACTATGTTGAGACTCTATAAGATATTCATTGAAAACTATAGCAAGATGTGCTGCGGGATGTCCCCCCAAAACAAAGTTTTTTTCAATTAAATAAACGTTTTCCATGTTTTTATGATAGAACCAATTAGGAAATGACATTTATAACACAGGAACAAAAATTGTGTTACATAGTGTTACCAGTTTCCATCCAAGTAGTGTAGCCAAGAAACTGTGACAATTCAGAATTTAGAGGTTCAAGAGAACAACCTCCATGAACCCCTGTCAGCATGATCAATGTTCATTAGCCATGCAATTGGCTAATTCTGCACGTTACCCTCAAGCAAAGTAACTTTTCAAGGTCTGAATAGAGTAAGGGCGGAGGAAGTACAATGGTAGTGTTTTTTCTCTTCCCTCTGTAGATATCTGATCATTAAACTGTGTTCTAGTTTGATGAACATTTATCTTACAACTAGGAAAGTAACTTGATTTTGCTTCCCCTTTTGGTCAAATATTTTTTAATTTTTTTTTTTACTGATAACAAGCCATTATTTGCAAGGCTTGCTAAATAAGGTAGTTTTCCTTTTTTTATGAAGCACGGCTGAAGCATCTATAAACACTATAAACACTGCGCAACAGATTCATGTCAATGTCTAAAACAACAATTTGGTGATGTTCAGAAAATTTTTGCTCCTGCCAATTTTTTTGTGATCCCAACATTGAGCTAAGGTGACCCAATTTGGGACCATGACCCTCAGTTTAAGAATCAATGGTTTAAAGCTGTCTTGCCTATCCTGTTTGTTTTGTGCAGTTTCCTAACATAGTGTTTTTGTGAGAACAGTGTTGCTGCCAATCTGCACATTTACTTAGTTGAATATTGATCTGAGCTTGTAAGAGTTATCATACAGAAAATATTGGATTTATCATACAGCAAATATCGGGGAGATGGTGGAGGGGTATAAGAATAAAGTTATTGTTATTGTTGTTGTTATACTGTATTATTTTTTACAAAACTACTCCAAAGGATCCCCAAGTCTATATTTATTTATCGTTATCAAAAGCGAACCAAGAGTACAGTTGTAATGTATTTTATCTAAAGATTATTTAGTATTATTAGATTATTATTTTGTGTTTGTATACTTAAAAATTTTTTGACTTGGCACACCTTTCCAGTCAATCAATCGTTGTTTTTGGAATATAAATATAAAAAGTCTATGATAGTGAGTTTTGAAAAGCATCCATTTATTTTCTGTTTCTCAGAGTAACAAGAATAGTTTGAAAGTAACAACACTGTGGAATTCAGTTGTCATTACTTTTAAACTGTTCTGGTTGCTACAGTCTATTACAGTATATTAATTGACCAGTATAGTCTTCCAAATTTCACAGTTTTGATCTCAAATTAGGAGCCTCCGATGGCCCAATGGGTTAACCCCTTGTGCTGGCAGGACTGAAGTTCGCAGGTTCGAATCTGGGGAGAGCGCGGATGAGCTCCCTCTGTCTGCTCCAGCTCCCTCCTTCGGGGACATGAGAGAAGCCTCCCATAAGGATAGTAAAACTTCAGAACATCCGGGTGTCCCCTGGGCAACGTCCTTGCAGACAGCCAATTTTCTCAATCCAGAAGCGACTTGCAGTGTCTCAAGTTGTTCCTGACATGCAAAAAAAATCACAAATTCGACAGAAATAATTCATAGGTTTCCTTATATGATGACTGAAAATCCATCTTTAGAATATAACAACACCTTTAAGCAGCCTTTCCTAATTTAGCGCCATTGCCCCCGCCCCCAAATATGTTTGACAACAACTCCATTCCTTCCCATTTGATCATGCTATCTAGGGTGACGGGTGATGTAGTTCAGCAAATTTGAAGGATATCAATTTGGACAAAGCAAATCTGTAACATAACTGGACTAAGCCTTTCATTTTGGGTTAGCGCTGAAAACAGCCCTCAAATATGCTGGTATAAGATCAATGACTGAGTTTGGAAAAGTTTCTTTTTTGGATGACAACTTCTAGAATTCCCTCCCAATATCTGAGATTTGGGGGTTTCAAAAAGTTATTAGACTAAACTCTGATCTAACTCAAGATTACAACGGGGGTTTTTTTTTTTAAAACCAATGCTGTGTTTGAGATTGTTCCAAAGCTGTATTTCACATAATCAGCGAATAAAGAAGAAAGGAAAGTTATAAATAGGCTTCAAGGATGGTGCTTGTTGGCTTTGAAGATTAATATATTCATCATTGATATGCATCATCATAATTCACTTATGGAGCGGCTTTAAGACCAGGAGGTTACTGGCTGGTTCAAAAATATTTGCGCACACAAAAATGACATTTTACTCTCTCTGTCTTCTTTTTCTTGGTAGGGTTTCAGAACAAAAACAGAGTTGCGATCTTGGCTGAACTCGACAAGGAGAAGAGAAAGCTGCTCATGCAAAACCAGTCCTCCACAAACCACCCTGGAGCCAGGTACCATCTTTTTGGAGGCCTGTCTTTTTTTTCCTTCAGTCATGCTCTCAGGTCCCAAAGGAAAACCACATTTTGCTGTCTCGTATCAGCAATATGTGCTTCTGATGGGCCCACTTTGTTCTCTCTGGAAGTTATATCCAAACAGGCACCCTAAAAGGCATAAGCACCAACGCACTCAAGATTTGTGCCCTCTGGCTTTCATGGCTACCACTTTTCTTTGAAGACCTTACTGTTCAGCAAAGGTGGCCCATACTTTAAAATCCTTCATAAACCAAATCTATTTTGACCTAGAGAACTGGAGATAGATATTTTTGATTGAGGACATTCAACTAAGTAAGCCATTAAAATATAAAGCAGATGGGAATGGATGTACCGTGTATATTTAAGTATAAGCCAGCTTTTTCAGCCCTTTTTTAAGGCTGAAAAAGCCCCCCTCAGCTTATATGCGAGCCAAAGTTATTTATTATTTTACTTGGTTATTATTATTATTATTATTACATTTATTATTTTACTCTATTTATTATTATTATTATTATTACATTTACATTATTTTACTCTATTATTATTATTATTATTATTACATATATTATTTTACTCTATTATTATATGTATTATTTTATTCTATTTATTATTATTATTACATTTATTTCACTTTGTTGTTATTGTTATTATTACATTTATCATTTTACTCTATTATTGTTATTACATTTCCATTATTTTACTCTATTATTATTGGAAGGATACCCAAGCACATTTACATTGAAGAAAGTTAGAATAATGATTTAATCAGAGTTGGACAGTCTTATCTTAAATTACAGTTTTATGTAAATATTCAAAAACTTTTAACCTATGGATGCCTCAATTAGTGTAATTTTATTGGTATCTATTTTTATTTTGAAATCTACCGGTAGTGGCTGCATTTCCCACCTTTGGCTTATACTCAAGTCAATGCATTTTCCCAGTTTTTTGTGGTAAAATTAGATGCTTCAGCTTATATTCGGGTCAGCTTATACATGAGTATATACAGTATTCCCTGCCCCTTCCCCTCCCTGCAGCCATCTGTGAACTAGATGATGTCTGTGACCGTAACAATAAAATTCAATTCAGTTCAATGTCAAAGTTGCTCCCCTTCTCCCGGCCTCCATCTGAAAATGATAAAGGTCAAATTGTATAGCACCAGGTTCCAGCGAAGGAGGGGGAATGCTAGTGTGCTTATGTGCCAGTTGTAGTACACATTGGAGTTATACATTTTCCCTCTGGTGCGATTAAACCTAGAGATTTTTGTAAGGGCAGAGCCCAGCAGAGAAGCCATTTTTGTCTTCTGCAGCAAAGAGTAGGATGCAATACGCTGCATGAGGATCAGAAAGAATGACGTTTTTTCGAAACATAGAGTAAGCTCTCCACTTTTCCAAGGGTTCTTGTAAAAAACAAAAGAAAGAAATCAATGAATGAATTCACTTGTATGTCTAAATACAACTGACAAAATGCATTCAAGTTTGTTTCCTGACCGTCAGTGTTAATAATAATAATAGTAAAAATATTTATTTATTGTTATTATTTATTTAGTTATTTACAACATTTATATCCCACCCTTCTCACCCTGAACGGGACTCAGAGCGGCTTACAAGTTTTATGTACATACAGTGTGTTATATTATTAGCATAACACAATATTAGTATTATATATTACCATATTGTACTATACCACTATACTGCAATATTATTAGTAATATTACATGTGATATAAAATATATAATTATTATATTATTATATTGTTTTATTAGTGTTACATTGTATTACAATATTATGATCAATATTATATGTACATATAGTATATTATAATTATTAGCATAGCACAATATTAGTATTATATATTACTATATTGTACTATACCACTATACTGTAATATTATTAGTAATATTACATGTGATATAAAATATATAACTATGACGTTATTATATTGCTTTATTTGTGTTATATTGTATTACAATATTATGATCAATATTATATGTACATACAGTATATTATAATTATTAGCATAGCACAATATTAGTATTATATATTACTATATTGTACTATACCACTATACTACAATATTATTAGTAATAGTACATGTAATATATACCATTATTAGATCATATTATTAGAATTATATTGTATTACATTATAATATAATTATCAATATAATATGTATATACAATATATTATATTATTAGCACAGCACAATATTAGTATTGATGCACCACATCCACATTTAATTTAACAATTTAGCACGGATAGCCTGCCATCCTCTGCTCTGCATCTTTTCCACTATCTGTTGTATTCTTAAAATTATCAAATGCAACTTGCAGTTTCTGAAGTTCTCAGGAGCATTTGAATGAATATAATGATAATATTATAACATATATTAATATTATATTATAGTGCATAATACTATTATAACACACATCTATAAATATAATATATTCCATTATAATATATATAATATAGTAATATATTATATATTACTATGGACTATGATTTCCAGACTTTGTGCTTTGTTTTTACTGCTGATTTAAATGTATTTTGTATGCTTTATATGCCTTAATGCGGCCACTCTGAGTCCCCTTCGGCGTTGGGATAGAGCGGGGTAAAAATACAGTAAATATAAATAAATAAATAAATGTCTAATCCATATTAGATATACTAGTAGTTAGGAGGAGTAGTAGTAGTAGTAGTAGTAGTAATTATAATAATAATAATAATAATAATAATAATAATAATAGACTCTGGCACAAACCAGTAAAGGTGGTCCCTGTGGTAATCGGCACACTGGGTGCAATGCCAAATACCTTGGCCTGCATTTAAACACAATCGGCACTGATAAGATTACCATCTGCCAGCTGAAAAAGGCCACCTTACTGGGATCTGCACACATTATTTGCCAATACATCACACAGTCCTAGACACTTGGGAAGTGTCCGACGTGTAATCCAATACAACAGCCAGCAGAGTGTCTGCTGTGGACTCATCTTGTTGTGTTTCGAATAATAATAATAATAATAATAGCGACAAAACTTTATTTATATTCCACCCTATCTCCCTGGAGGAACTCAGGTCTCTGAGTAATTTAAAAGGAGTGACGGAGTGAGGTGCAACTCCAGTCATTTTTGATTAAGCTACAACTTCCAGAGGGATTGCATTTGAGACTCCCAGAACAGACATCCAACCAGTGACTTTCAAGGCCCCTTTCCACAAGAAAGAGATGGATCCTGCAGTTTTATTGTTTTGTTTTTCGCTCTGTGGTCCTCCTTCCTTTCCGGATGTTGAACTTAATCATGGTTTGTAGTAAAGTCTCTGAATGTAAAACAGTAAACCATAGTGACTTGTACATAACTGCTGTTTCTCCTCCAGGCGCTAACCTTTGTTGCTCATGGTGGAGTAGTTGTGGAGGTTTGGTGGGCTCGGGGTGGGATTGGTACTGTAACTTGTCAACGTGTTGACTAAAAAGAGACCTTGTCTCGGCTGGATCTCAATGGGAAACTCTTTTCCTGCATACAGAATTCTGCAGCCACTCTACCAAACATATGAGCTCCCCATCATGAAGACTATGGACCCCTGGTTAGTGCTGTTGTTTTATTCAGGTATCACTTAGACAAGTCATTGGGTGGTACTGATGATGAAAGAAAGCAAAAATGTGAAAAAAATGTGCTGGGGGGCTCAAGCTTCATTCTACTGCATGTCTACCAGTCGACTTCCTTTTGGTTTCCATTGGTGCATGGGTTTCTTCCCCATATTGACTAAATCTGCCATGGCTGGAGGGAGTGGGTTAGATCTAGGTGTAGTCATACTTAGAATAGACCCACTGGCCGGAGTACTCGTGGGTTCGAGTGCGTCTGCTCTAAGTATGATCCAAGTCTGGATCCAACTGTTGTTCCTAAGCAGAACTGTTAAACCAGTTTTGTACCCACCATCTTGCATGTCAGATTTCCCTCAATTTTCAAATCTTCTATTACAAAGTAGAAGTAACAGGGGAATTTTCTGACTCTGAACCATGTGCCCCTGCCACAGCATACTTTTTCTTTGACTTTGTGCTCGTTTCATTTTTATGACTTTCCTTTTTTTTTCCTATTGCTTGCAGCATCTCTCTCTCTCGATCCTCCCTTAATAAGGACTTCCGCGATCACGCAGAGCAGCAGCACATAGCTGCACAACAGAAGGCTGCTTTACAGGTGAGTTGTCCCAATTCAAAGAAGACGCAATGGAGCCAGGCTGTGAATATGTTGTGGTTTTTTGTTCTTCAGTGATTCCTAAAGACTAGGCATGGGGAGAATGTTAGGAAATACTCAAAAGTGGTTGGAAAGTCAAAAACAAACTCTTTCAAGCTTAAATCCTGTATGGATTGCGAGTATTAAAGCAGAAGACTGAATGCAAGGCTGAAAGCTTTGACAGTGTGCAAGCATTACATCTACATCTGGTTATTTTTTCATGTGCCACTTTAGCAGGGGATGGGGGTAAGGAGATTCTTCTCCATTGATTCGAAATACATGCCATTTTCATACTGTTGTGTTCCTCTTCCAGCATGCTCATGCACATTCGTCAGGATACTTTATAACCCAGGACTCTGCCTTTGGAAACCTTATTCTTCCAGTGTTGCCACGACTTGATGGAGAATGACAGACTATCCTTGAGTGGAAGGAAGGTGGTGTTCATCTAATATTGCAGCTGCTACTTTCAATGGTTTGAAAATAAGAGGACTCAAAATTGAAGATTAATCTATTCATTTTAATGACTTTGGTTTTCAGGAGACATTAAATTACTGAAATCCAATTCTAAGGTAGTTTGCTTTTTTCTTTCCTTCTGGTCCCAAAGTTGGATATTCATATGATGTATTTGACTTTTCTGTTTCAATGTTGGTTTATTTATACTTTTGGTTTAAATTATCTATTTCTTTCAGGCCATTTAATAGCCTTCCTAGCATTTGCTAGTGCCTTACACTGCTTTGTGTTGACATCTCAGTAATCCTTTCAACAGACATGTAAGATAGGACAGCCACCTTCATAAATAAAGATGTATTTAAAAGTGGAAAAGAAAAGTGGAGAAGTGCAATATATAGATGGAAGTTTGTGAAGTTGTCTGGATCTGAACTGCACATTAGCACAGATGAAAACAGAAAGCAGAAAAAGAGGGAAAAAACACCTCCCTCTTACAAACATTGTGTCTTGTTGAATAAGTTAGGCAACTGTAGCCCTTCAAAAGTAGACTTGAGCCTGAATCAGTTTGAACAACAATGATTTGTAATATTTGGCAGGCTGTTTTGTATAACATCCAAAAGCAGAACTGTGAGGAGGGAGCTGCAAAGCTCAGCAAAAACAGATTAAGGAAGCTGGATTTTATTGGTTCCTGGAGAGGAAGGAGTTGAGGCAGGGATATGCCGAGTCTTTTCTTTTCTCCCTTCCCAGCAGAAGCAGCCTCCCGCCATTTTTTTGGGGGGGAAAGTTTCCTAGGCTCCTCGTCTAGAGAGGGCCCTGCTAGGAATGCCCACCGCATTGAAAAGTCTCCGAGTTCCTCTCAAAGCATGATGGGACTTGAAGTTTTTCTCTCTCTCTGTTTCCCAGCCAATAAAAAGCCTGGTTGTGTCCATGCTCTGATTTGCTGAGAATGGACACAAGTGGCGACTACAGTTCCCAAAATCCTCTTTTGCAGTTTGTCTTATTTGAAAAAAATGTTACACTTAAAACTTTTAAAAATTCTTTAAAAATCAGGAAATTGGTGAATTGTTTTGAAACTTGGCAGGCCTGTAGTTGTAAATGAGGTCTAAAAATGAGATGTTTCATGCAGATAGGCCTTAAAATGACTGAGGATTGAGCCTTTAAAATTTCCCATTGCAGCAAAATCTTTGCTGAATAAAAATGGCAACACCCTTCCCCTTTCAAGTAACTTCCTGGTAAACAGAACAAGGGGCCAGCCGACAGTGGACTCCGAAATGGTATGTCTTTTGGCCGAATTGCACACATCTAGTTTTTAGTATGTTTCTCTTACAATGGAATAATGAACAAAAAAATCTGGAGGTTTACATTTAATTCATGTTTAACTGAGTTAGACTATTATTTGGAAAGCATGTGGCCCTCCAGATTTTGGGATGCACCTATCTATAGCCTTATGCAGTTTAGCCAGTAGGATGAGATTATGGCAGGTACAGCTGTAGGGCTACAATTTGCCCCCCTCTCATCTGTTTCAATGTTGCTTTCTCTTGATGAGTTTCAGCTCCCAAAATATAGGGCAGTAGACATGACCGTGGGCTGCTCTTATTGGAGCTGGAAAGTGGGGAAAGTTCCTTAATCACAATCTGAACTAGATAACAGGTTGTGTCTACACTTATAACGTTGGACCTCTCCAGGCTATTAAAAATGTGCAGTCTTGATAGGCTTTAATTATAGATCTTTACCTTGATACATTCTCCTCCTCTGTGTGTTAAAGGAGGGCTGCTGACTTCTGGAAGATGTTTTGCTGCAATTTCCTTCCTTACATTAACATATGTGAATGCCACAGCTGGAGGGAAGGGCTGCCAAAGTAACACAGCACTGAAGCCCTTGTAAGGTGTATATTTGTTGCACTTTTTGTGTAAACCATAATAGTTGTCATGTAAAAGGAAAACTAAGCTAGCAGCAAACAGATTTCTCTGGAGGATGATCTTAACGTTTAGTGAAGGAATTAAAAGTCTCAAGGAAAAAAGTGTTTTCAGAATTAGAATTTGCAAGAAGATAAAGGAATATGTTTAGTAGGCAAAGAACTCTAATTTTCACTTAAATCTCCTGTTGCTTGAACAGCATTCCCTGTGCAGTAATAATAATAAATAACAAACTTTATTTATATCCCACCACCATCTCCCAAAAGGGACTTGGGGCGGCTTACAAGGTACTCCAGGGTGCAGCATAGCATAAACAGTACATGAGTATAAAACAATATCACATAATAATGATAAAAACAACCACTATCAACACATACAAAATAAAATAACACAATTAAAAAAACCCAGACCATCTGTAGTTAAAACTAGCTGCCATCAATTCACAACTAAAGTGCTAGGGTGTCAACCTCATGTGGGCCCATTTCAGTCTTCTCAAGGCCAAAAGCTTGCTTAAAAATCTGTATTTTTAGGCTGGATTGAACGGGTTCAAGGGTGGGGGCTAACCTAATTCTTTTGGAAGGGTATTCCAGAGCCAGGAAGCCACCACAGAGAAGGCCCTCTCTCTCGTCCCCAACAACCACGCTTAGGACTGTGGTGGGACCGAGAGAAGGGCCTCCCCTCCTAGTCTCAAAGCCGGTTCATAGAAAGAGATGCGGTCTCGAAGATAGGTTGGACCTGAAGCGTAAAGGGCTTTGAAGATAATAACCTGCACCTTGAATTGAACCTGGAAACTTGTCGAAAGCCAGTGGTGTTGTTTTATTAGGGGCATAGTATGTTTCCTATAGCTAGCCCCAGTTAGTAATCTGGCAGCTGACCTTTGCATTAACTGCAGTTTCTGAACTGTCTTCAGAGCCTGCCCCACGTAGAGTGCATTACAGTAGTCCATTCTGGATGTAACTGAGGCATGGACCACCATGGCCAAGTCAGGCTGGGCCAGTTTTGTCAGATAAAGAATTACATTTTTCGTTTACAACCCCCCCCCCCCCATGCACATATTTTCAGCAGAGGTGCATTCTGGAAACGAAGACATGTTACAAATAGATCACAGTTTTTTAAACAGATTATCTCTGAGCATTGCTAATGCAACATGATATGACAGTTGGCTACTTCCTGTGTAGGGCATCAAAATAATTTCACATTCATGGGTGATTTTGTAAATCGGTGAAACTGATCTAATTATTCATTAGTGGAGCTCTTAAATGATTTGCCACAAGAGGGAGTCTTGTGGGGGAAAATAACCACATTTTCTAATATTTGACAGAAAGATTTATGACATCTAGTCAGCCACACAAGGGAATTTCATATGATACTTTTTTCGTGTCAGGAGCGACTTGAGAAACTGTAAGTCGCTTCTGGTGTGTGAGAACTGGCCATATCTACAGGATTGGTCCAGAAATGTTTTCCCGTGAATACAAGGATTTTACTACACTGCAGTGACTCCTGTTTTGGAAAAAAGAAACTATGTTGGTTGAGAAACTGCTTATAATGTAGCTATAAAAGAAAACAGAAGGACCATTCTGAAAAAAAGAATGCCTGTTTTAATGTAACTTTTACATACTACTATATGTATGACATGATTGTCTAACATATATCTTAACAAGGATACTGAGTTGCTGCGAGTTTTCCAGGCTGTGTGGCATTCTCTCCTGATGTTTCACCCACATTTATGGCAGGCATCCTCAGAGGTTGTGAGGTCTGTTGAAAACCAGGCAAGTGAGGCTTATATATCTGTGGAAGTTCCAGGGAGGGAGAAAGAACTCTTGTCGGCTTGAGGCAAGTGTGAATGTTGCAATTGGCCGCCTTGATTGGCATTGAATGGCCTTGCAGCTTCAAAGCCTGGCTGTTACTGCCTGTGGGAATCCTTTGTTGAGAGGTGTTAGCTTGTCTTGATTGTTTCCTGTTAACAACCACCATATCAGACTACACAGAGAAGCCACTGAAATCCACAAGCATGTGGACAATTTCAACAAAAAGGAGGAAACTATAAAAATAAACAAAATCTGGCTATCAGTATTTAAAAACTCTAAAATCAGGACAGCAAACAAAGAGCAACACTCAAAAAACACGTGAATTCCAGACAGGAAACAATCAGGGCAAGCTAACACCTCTTTTAAAAAAAAGATTTCCCAGGCAAGTTGCAGGGCCATTAAATGCTAATCAAAGTGGCCAATTGCAACAATCACACTTGCCTCAAACGGACAAGAGTTCTTTCTTCCACCCTCGACATTCCATAGATATATAAACCTCACTTGCCTAGTTTCCAACAGATCTCACGACTTCTGAGGATGCCAGCCATAGATGTGGTTGAAATGTCAGGAGAGAATGCTCCTGGAACATGGACATACAGCCCAGAAAACTCACAGTAACCCAGTGATTCCAGCCATGAAAGCCTTCGACAATACTTTGAACAAGGATACTGTTTGCCATATAAGGATATAACAATTAAGATTTAGTTATCGGAACAAATGAATGATGTAATTTAAGAAAGACATATGATTATACTTATACCCTGTGCTGGGGAAATATTTCATGTCACAAGTCAGTACATTTGACAGGTTCATAACAGGTTGAAAATATGTGCGTGACAGTCCTTGAAAGCAATTTGTGATGCAGTTAATAAAGTGACAGCATTCTCCTTCTAGGTTCTCCTGTGAGCTAGTAATTGATAGGAATGGTAGTTCCTTAACAGTCCACTACGTTAACTCATAGGTACTGCTTATTATAGAAAACCTCCAGTAAGGTTTCTATTACTGTTGGGGACTTGTCTCCCCAATTTCGACCTTCTTCCTCTATGGACACACACACCTAATTAGACTCATTTAATGATAAATGGTTTGCGCTTTATGCATATACAAACAATAGTTTGTCCGTGTTTTTCAAATTAGCATACATCTTAGAAAATAAATTATCAGTGAATTTTGTACAGATGTTGATTTTATTAAGCTTGGTCTGAATTCATAGCCATGTTCAGTTTTAGACAGATAATGGATGGACAGACAGATGGACTGATAAACACTAGATCAGTGTTTCTCAACCTTCCTAATGCCACGAACACTTAATACAGCTTCTAATGTTGTGGTGACTCCCAACCATAACATATTTTCGTTGCTACTTCACAACTATAATTTTACTATTGTTA